TATCAAATTGGGTCAGGCCTGAGAAAAAAAATACACTTTCACGTCTTTTAATACTAATAATAATTAAGTATCGCCTTCAATATAGGCTTCTGAGTCAATATGTTACAAGCATGTCGATGCTTAATCCAAATTTTTATACAATTGTTAAAGGCCTCGGCTAAGATGACCGTCAGCGCCTTCAACGAACGGTTTCGGTTAATTTTTGCAGCACTAGCTAGTTTTTTGGACAATTTCGACTTCATATTCATAAACCAAAGTCTGGACACCAGCAATCATGCTTTTGATGAATTTAGGTTCTTAAGCTACGTTATGAAGCACCTATTTACAATAGATTCAGAATAATTGATAGTATAGTACGAGTCACATTTAATATCCAAAACATTAGCCAAAATGTTCCGAGTTAATCCACAAGAAGTGTGTAGATCCGCTACTATTTCTCTGATGCCAACGTGACGATTCTCAAGTACTGGTTCTTTAACTTTTCGATGTTATCGTCATTAATAGAGGTGGTTGGACGACTTGCATGAGGCAAGTTTTCGATGACTTCACGATTTTCACTGACTACTTTTCTTCATGCTGCCACTCAACTACTCATGATAAAGTAGACTCTTCAAAACACTTCTGCAACATTTTTAGTTATTTTGAGCTATGATTCCATTTAAAATACAAAAAACCAAGCAAATTTGTTGACCAATTACTTTTATACTCTTGCAACATTTTGCTACAGAGTATGATAGTTTTGTTCACCTAACGCTCGAATCCTGTCCGTCTGTGTATTAAGGAAGTCGATTTTATAAAGTGCCATAACTAAGCACTAAATTTCGATACAAAGCGGTAACTTGGTACAGGAGATCGCAGAAGCAAGGCACACCTTTGGACTATACAAATTTTTAAGGTAGGCCTGACCCCGCCCCCTAAATGGTTGAACGTACATTCTGGATCCACTTGACCTTGGGTAGAGGGGTTTTGGGTATATCAAGGTACTTTCGTCCTGTCGACCTGACTTAGATCTAGTTTTAAGTATCATAAATTATAGATTTTATAATAACTTGAAAAAATTTAGTCTCTGTACTCAGCAGACTGCTACCTAATGGATTAATGAAAGTAATAATAATAGCAATAATGTGGAATTTCAGTGACTCTTTGCGGTACAAAAATTGATAGCTAAATAAAATAGTATTAACTGGTCATACTTGGGCATATAAAAAAAATATCAACAGCAGCTGAATGCGTCTTGAGGCTTTGAAGGAGGGTAAGAGTGAGAAAATGCCAAATAATTTGCCAAAATCGTGTCTAACCATTTAATTGTAAATGAAAAACTACTTTCGAATATCAAAATTAACATCACTTTGACTCCCCATACTTCGATAAACAAACTAAAAGAACCAATACCTACCCTTATATCTTTAGTTCTATTCCAGTAGCAAATTTTCGGTCACATAAAATTTCCCAAAATACCAGCAAAATCTCTCGTACACTGTTGTAACCGGCGCTTAATCACATCAGCTGCAATAACAACAACGGCAACAGTTGCATTACTTGCGGCATCAGTTGGAGCAAACTCCGTTGAAACTCATGTTAATAGCACTTGTAGCAACTGAATCTGTAGTTAAATGAAAAGAAAGTGCTGTTTGGCAAAACCGCGACAGCTATTGCCACTATTGCCGACAATCCGCAAAATTAAATGCTAACAACAAGAAAAAACACTGCGCAAACATTATGCCGAACACTTAGGCAACCCCAAAATTCGGCGGAGAGAAGGGCGGCACGCACAACATCAGCACTGTGAAGTTGCTTATACTCCCCTTCCGGCAAGCATCATGCCCCTGGCGTGCATCGCTTATAGGCGACCGCAATGTTGTAAAATGTTGCACAATATTTTTGCATTTAATGCAAAACTTTTGCTGTTCAAATTATTACCGTTAGCTGAGCAGCAACAGAACGCAAAATGTACTTATTATATGAATGAAGTTGCTTTTGCCATTAGTTACTGTAAATGTATGTGTGTGTCAGTGTAAGTGTGTATGTATGTGAGATAGTTAATCTGTTACTGCAGTTGTAGATTTTTTGCATGCCGCTGGCAGCGCTCAAATTGTAGTAATCGCTTCACGCACACACACACAGCAACTCACTCACAATCCCATACAAACTCTCCGACTCAGTGATACACACCTATACAGACACACACACACACATACACTTGGTGCAATTTAATTGAAATGATTTACCCTTTTTTTGCGGTAATTAAGTCGCAATTACGACGCCACTTTTTCAAATTATGCACAAAGCAAAAAACAATTCGGTTTAAGCACTGCAACAAAAGCGTCGAAAAGGTGAGCAGCTATTAACCCCACATTGGCAAGGTCTCCCACGGTGTTTTTGTATGTGTACATATGTCGGTGTGCGCTTAAATGGCGCATGCAGCATCCACCTGCTGCTGAGTGTTGTTGTTGTTGGCTATTTTGTTGCACCATTTAGCTGGCATTTACCGTACAAATGTCAAGGGGCAAATGTTGCTGCCTGCTGCCGTGCAACAGCGCATGCAGGAGCACCCTTTCACACAGTGCGCCAAAATGCAAATGCAATGCTTCGCTGCAGGTTACCCCTCTTTCGTTTATTCGTTGGAAAGTTGAATGTTTTATTGAGTGGTACTACAGGTTTCCCGTTTCAAAACTGCGCCTATGTTCAGATCATCTATGTGCGTTTGTATGTATGTGTGCTTAAATTCGAGTACACAGCTTGGCTGTGGGAGTGATTCCCTTGGCTGTGAGAGTGATTCGAAAAAGTAATAAATATATATATATATATTTCTTTTTTTTGAATAAGCATTAATTATTTACAAAGAAATTTTACAAGATTTTTTTTTTCGAAAAAAAGAAATTACTTTCGAAGCCGAAATTTGAAACATTGACTTCTAGAGAGTTTTCGTCGAGCCTCTATTTGTATTCATTGTTCTATATAAACATCTGAGCAAAATCGAATTTTCAATACACTTGTTACTGGGATGGATTTCAGTGCCTTCAGCGAATTTTTTTTTTCTGTTTCGGCTCATTTTTCGAGCGCCGTTCACTTAGTTGTTAGAGAGTTTCGACGTCACATTTATTAATCCACATCTCGTCACTATTAATAATACGTGTGTACGCTCCTCAGCTACATTGTCAAGCATCTCTTTTGCGACAACTACAAGACGACATTTTTGCGAAAGATTGAGGTCTTTTGACACGGGTCTAGCATTTACACGTTTTATACCCAAAACTTTAACCATAAGAGATGTTGAGGTCCTCTGCTATATCTCTGTTGACAACGCGACGATTTACTGGCACTGTTTCTTTGACTTCTTCGATGTTATCGTCATTAACAGAAGTCTATGCCTGACTCACATGAGGCAAATTTTCGATGACCTCATGATCTTCATTAAATGCTCTATTCTGCTCAAATACTTGTATTCGTAATAAAGAAGACTTCCCAAAAGACTTCTGAAACATTTTCAACGTTTCCGTAAGAAAACTATATCACTGGTGATTTTTCAAACATCTTTCTAAGCCATTTTGCGTTATTTTTGGAGTAATATATGGCATTTTCAGTTAATTTTCATTTCCGCTTAACTTGGGCATCATTAATCTCACTATTCTCTCCAATATCTTGCAATTAATTAAATTTTTTTACAAATTTTTTAAGATTTGCTTTAACATTTTATCAAAACCCGATCTTCGGGTCATCGAAATAAATAACATCTTTTTATATGCACCTAGCACCTAACACTTCTAGTTACCCTCCCTCTTCGTGCTCTGAACTTACTTTTAGATGACAACGAATACAAAAATGTAATTCCTAGCAGCAAACGGGGTCACAGTAACTGATAAAATAAGTGAAAAGAATTAAATATTCATACCATATTATTTTTTTATAAAACCAAAACGGTTTCACTATCTTCTTTTTCTAGACCCTTTTGTAACATATACATAGTTTTGTTGCATTTTTCGTATACAATTCATTGCATTATAAAAGAATGCAAATATTAATTTTATAAAAAAAAATATATTTGACGCTGCCTACATTGAGGCGCTTTACTAAGCACAGTTCAGCGAAGCCACACACCCAAAACGTTGATAATAAAATTAATAATTTTGATTGAAGTCAACAAGCTTAAACTTTGTATATTTCTTTCAGGATTTTTTATCGTATGTCACGACAAATTAATTTTTTTAAATTTTTGCAAAAATGGAAAACTCTATTAAAGTAGTAAAAGCAAATTACTCTGTCACTCTCAGAGTTTTTCTTCTGAAACCGAATTATTACAGTGAGTCAGTACCCAAATTTACAACAACAACGGTTATGATTTATGCTTTAACCACAATACCTGTTATAAAAGATTACTTCGATATACTCATTATAGAGACAGAACAACAAAACAAGCATTATGCAAATTTAACTACCCTATAGAGAAAAGCCTTTTAGTAGTAAAGATATCAGGGAAATACAAATTAAAACATTATATATTAATTTTTTATGTATAAAAAAATACTATCTGTAACACTTGTATATTATTGAATAATAACTTTATGCTTGTGCACATGCCGTTATGTTAGTTCCAGTTATTTTTATTAATTTAGTTAGAATCTCATTAGTAACGCTATCGTCACCTATTTTGCCTGGTTTTTTTTTCAAATGAATAAAGAAATGTTTTCAGCAAGTACTTTAATGAAAGCCTTTAAAAACGTTTAAAACTAAAGCACCTGTAACGTTTTTTTATAGACATCAAATTCAAACGAAAGCCGCAATTGTTTTATTACTTACCCTTAGTAATATTTTCGAGAGACTCACAGGTGCATGAAAAATTGAGTTAATAGACGACTTCAAATATACTTTATAACTTTAGAAATATTATATAATCTCATTTAAAAATCTGGGACCACCTTTTACAGGTTTTTTTTAAGGTACCTCAGTAAGCTCTTCAAATATAGTAATTTTTTTTGCTATTGATTTTTTAAAACAATTCAGTGAAACTAGAAACATTTGGTGGAGCTACTTTCATTATTGAGTTTATACTATAAGCATATACTTATACGAGTACAAATGTACCTGATAGAAATTTATTTTCAAAACAACTAAAGTAAGCTCATATTATTCAGGAGAGTAAATCTGGGAACACACGTACCCTCCTAATACGCACAAATTGCGCGAATACAGCTGCAATTTGACAACAGAATACAGAAACAACAGAATTGAACATTAAGCGAGATTATCACCTAGCTAAAGAAAGTAGCCAAAAATTGAGATGCAAACCTGCACGAACTTTCTGCTCCACTGCCCAGCTTTTGCAAGACTGAGATTCAACATCTCGACGAAATAGTCGGAATCGATTTTAGCCGCTTCTAAACATTTGCTTTTACGAATTTGTGGCATATTTAAAGCGTTTTGTGGATGTTTCAGAGTTTTTTGTACCAATACTTAGGAGCGTTTAGGGATCACAATTCACCGCAACTTTCAGCTGTCCAAGTGGGGTCCGTCCACCAGTTCTCTTATATTCTTGGTGAGATATCATAACGAAATAAAAAGAAATTATCGAAGAGAAGTCAGTTTTCACCAAAAATAAAATAAAAATTCTGAAAATAATCTTAAATATACATTAGAAATAAGAATTTCCAAGTGTTTATTGCTAAAACCGTAGACTATTGTACGGGGAAAATGTATACACAATGTATACATATAGTATTAATAATCACGAATATAATGAGTACATGATACTCTAATAAATTATGAAAAATACACTAATAAATTGCTCATGCATTTCCTACTGACCCTAACGCCGCCTCAGTCATACAAATTGATTTCAGCACAGTCGTGTCGTCAGCAGTGACATCGCGCTACGCCAAGAAAGTGGTCAAGTGCAAGAACGAACGACGAAAAAAAGCATGAAAACCAACAAGTGAAATAAAACAAAAGACAAAAAGCACACGACCGACTAAATGGGTGCCGATTAAGCTTGAAGATCCGCGCATTCGACGAGCGCCACAAATGATCATCAGCAAAGCAGGAGAGTGACCGAACGAGAGAGAAACAAACAACAACAAGAAAAGAATAACAGAATTATTATGATGCAAATGTGTATATGAATACAACAACTACGGCAACATAAGCAGACTAAGCAGGGCTATCGAGTACAACAACAACATCTTACTAATGACTAGCAAGACAGCATACTTTTACTGCCCAAATACGCTGACGAACCTTTTCGCTTTGCGGACATCCATAATGATCGTCACAGCCGAGCGGAGGAACGCAAAGGTAAACCGGCAACGCCGCAATACAACAACAACATGCACAAATTTGTGTATGTGTATGTATATAAATGCAATAACAACAAGCAGCTTGTAGACAAGCAATCGAATGCCAATGAAAACAATGAGCTCTCCGCTTTGGTCAGATCTCAGCTGAAACGATCGACGAGGTAGTCGAATCCGAACCTTCGACGCTACCACAAGTTGACTGCGCTGTGCTTTTGGTGCTGCTGGCTATTGCATTGTTGTTGTTCTTCGATTTTTTTCTCACAAAGTACAGGCCAAATCTCAATAGTACGCTTGAAACGCGGTGTACGCTGCACGCTTCGGTCAGATTGCAAATTGAAACAACACTGGGCGGTTAACTAGTGTGAAGCGCTGCGCGACGTAACTCCAACGCAACCAAATAAACGGAAAATTTTTCAAAAATAAAAAAAATAATTGATGTTTATAATTGAATTGTGTGTCGCAGAGATTACTTTGGAAGAGTGAATTTAATCGAAATGCTGAGCGTATAACTCAAGCATATGAATTAGATGCGAAGTCAGAAATGAAAAAAATAATACAAAACCAACTAAGTGCTGATTAAAAAGAGATAGCTGTGAATTTGACAACCATATATTGTTATACGTATGTATGTGTAATCGTTTAAAGTTGGAAAAAAATAATTGAAAATATAAAGGAGCAAAAAAGACAGCAAAGGTAAACACTTATATTTTCAAATACATACTTATATCACATAAACCAAGTGAAATTATAAAAATAATATACTTATATAATTATTAGAAAGAGAAAATATTAATTTTATTTTTATTTCTAATCTGGCAAGGTATAAAACACTTCACATTGCAATTTTTCATTTTTTTTTTCAATATGCCAATGCTAAGCTTATGCAGATTCATTTATTTTTCTACTGTTTTAAGTTTTTTTAATTTTCTCCAACTTTTCTTTTGCCTCTAAAAATCGATTTAAGTCGAAATAAAATGCAAATCAAATTCAAATCAAATTCAATTAATTAACTGTAGGTAAATATAAACAAATGGGAAATGCACGCATTTAAAAAAAAAAGTATTTATATGAAAAAAATTAATAATAATTTTTACTACCAAATATTATATTGTTTTTTAAGCAAAATCGAGTTTAAAAATTATTTTTTTTTTTTCGTAGTTATTGCTTCAGAAATTTTGAAGTGATTTTTTATAACTTTTAGAGTATTTGATTAATTTCTTTGATTAGATATATAGTGAAATTTTATGGAAGATGTATTTGACTATTTATAAAATAAAATATTATGTCCCTTGTGTGTTTTCAATTCTTCATACCTCGTCATTTTTTCGAAGGAAGTTTTCCGAAATATGTTTAACTCTATACCTTATCATAATATTCTAATATATATGGTATTACTGTAAATGGTCGGTAAAATGTTGACAAGATCTAACAATTTACACAAAAACAAAAAAAAAAACGACAATACACTTCAGAAATACAAAAGATTCCTGACAAGAACTTTCATCGTTCAGTTTGTATAGCAGCTATTTGCTACCGTGATCCGATATGAACCACTATATTGGAGATTGCATCATTACCTTAGGCAATAATTCATGTCTTGAAGATACCTCGTTAAATGAAAAAACTTTCTATACAAGCATTATATTCCGATCGTTCAGTTTGTATGGCAGCTATATGATATAGTGATTCGATATAGGCAGTTCCGACAATTGAGCACATTTCAATAGGCAAGTAATTGTTCATGGCTCGTTTGTAATTTCATCTTGTGGAAGCTGCACTTTATAAGTTGTATTTTTATTAGAGAAGTCAAGTCCAATACCCTATATATTGTTATGGCATATGGTATATTATTCAACCAGAAAGTGATAATCCCCAGTTGTGTCTACGAATGAGTGTTTGAAACTTTTAAGAAAACACACGGCTACTTAATTTATTTTAAGCGCTCAATAAAGAGATTACAACTTTTTGAAAAAAACGAAAAATAACTGAGGTTATCAAAATATAATAGACCGCATTAGAATTAAGACCTCTGTGGATCTTTTCATAGTTCTTTAATATTGAAATATGAAATTACGCTTTATCGTCGTGCTTAACAGGCACTTGATGTACAACAGATCGGCATAAAAACCGCACATGATCACGTGTCGAATTGTAACCCGTTAACCCGCTGATTGGTGATAACAATGTAACAACAACAACAGTATTCAGCTTGTTTATTGTCACATTTCAAACTTATATTGTTCGTAAGTCAATTTATTCTGTTTTATAATTTGTTTTAGTTGTTATCACAATTGCCCGATCATTTGTCGCTGATCACTGCACTTTTGGCGCACTCTCAGCGGTTTTTGATGTGGCTTCAACACGCGACTGACTCACATGTTAGATTAGTGACAACTCAGAAATGGAATGGGAATTTGGAATATAATTAATTCACACTTCAAAAACTTTTGCCCATATATGTAAATATATATTTTTTCGGTATATATCTAATGTAAAAGCCAACCAAGCACTTTTCTGTTAAAACAAAAAATTTGGTTTCTGCCTAGAATTAACTGTTTATAGATGTTTTTAAGCAATTAACACCATATATATCAGTTGAGCTGTCAGCACACCACACTATTATACTGCGCAAAGCCTTATAAACTGGTAGTCTACATAGGCTCAGTTTTAGCTTTAGGTAGAACCAGATATTAAGCCCACGATCCTTAAAATTTTTTTTCAAGTACTAGTCTATATAAGAACAAATTGAAAAATATCAACAATTCAAGCCGATAATTGAATATTAACCCTCCATAAGATTAATAACTAATCGCAGACCTAATGAAACCATATTGACAAAAATCAAACATTTCGCACTAACCTCGTTTAAAAGTATTCATACCAAAGGAGCTTTGCTTGATCTTAACAAACACATTGTCAATCACACTATGATATTCATACAACTTGAACATATTTCATTCGCACTTTGAAGAGAGGTTATAAATTTGTCACTTCGGTCGAAGCTTAGTTCGTCTCTAATTAGCACATTTTTTTAAATATAAAGAAATTTATATATATAACAGAATTATTTTTAGTTGACCCAACACCTTCAATACAGTTGCCTTAACAATGTCTGTAGAGTGTTTTGTAAAACAAAATTCAGCACCTTTTCCATTTCTAGCGATAACATAAAGTCAATCACTTGCTTAACGGTTTCTTCGCACTGAATATTTTTCATTTATAAATATGTATGCCTTGTCTATATACACCCTCAGTGAAGCATGAAATTAGTTAAAAACTTCTTGACTTTAAATTAACTGGTCCGAAAAAGACCAAACGTGTAGCATTCATAATTGGACTATTTATTGAGTTATTATAATTGATGTCAACGACGGACAAGTAATACAGTTAAGTACACTGCCGGTTATGTTTAAATATATCTACTTTTTTCTGATTTCATTACACTATAGTTTTTTTTTATTTTTTAAGTTGTTAGTTTTATTACCGAACTAGCATTTTTTTGGCTGTTTTTTTTTTTACTAGGTTGAGTCAAGAAACATATCAGTTCGGAACTAGAACATTCTAACTAAAATCCTACAAGTCAAAAAACAACCAAACTTCTACTCATTTTGGGGAGAATTGACACCCAAAGGGATCATAGTTATGTGAGTATCAATTTAAAAAAAATATATATTCTAAAGACCTAAACTAAGCATCACATTCGAAAAATATCTCCTACTTCTGAACATTACAATCGGCTGACTAGTTTGGCTTGCGACTCAGACTAGTTGTAAAGCGGTTAATAACTAGTTCATTTTACTACAGGTTATATACGTACATATTTCTGTAGGTATGTTTGTATATTAGTGGAAAAAAGACAAGAGGTGCGCTCTATGTTTTAATTAGTCAAGTGAAAAATAAAAGAGCGATTTGACTGCAAAATTGCAAATAACTGTGCCGTGGCATGACTATATAGCCGAGAAAAAGGTGGTAGTCAAAGCTTTGCGTTTTATTTACAAGCATTTAGTGCAGCCTAATATCGGTTTGAGCGGGGTCTTGTGTATAATGACGACAGAAACTTTTAAATTTTCCATCAGCATCAAGCTAAAAATTAGGAGCGAATATTAAAAAAAATTTATAAAAAATAATACAAATTTTATTCAAGATGGTAATCCAATTGCTATTCTTAACAGTATTATTTTTATGTTTCAAATTATTACTTTTTTTTTCAAATATGAAATGTGAAATATTTTTTTAACCCTAACTACAGTTTGACAAATTTGAAAAAATGTGTAACCAACTCAAAACAAAAAGTACAAAAAATGGTGTAACTATACAAAAAAGTAATTACTTGCTTATGCAACAAAGGTATTTATCAAACTCGTAGCGTTCACACTTCAGCTGTGACTGCAAATGCATGTCGGAAAGTGGTAAAGTGGCGATATGCGCTACGATTAAAGCTAATTGAAAGATCACACGCTGCAATAATAAATAGAAAATTAATTTAGCAACGCGTCGACAAATACAAAATGTTAGCACAATAATCATAATCGAATTATTGTAATTTCTGCAATTAAACTTTTTTTAACAAAAATATTAGAGCATTGAAAAATAAATATACATTTGATGATACCAAACGAAAGTATATAATTTTGTGGAATTTCATAACGTTTGTATTGCAAATGCGAATGTATTGCAAAGTTGCTGAAACAAAAATAATTGATTTCCAACCACTGAACAACAATATGATATTATCTCAGTCACATGACATGCTCGTTATGTGTTAAAATAGTTTCTACAGCGAAAACATTTAGCAATTAAAAACAACTAATAAATAGAGGAGGTAAATGTTAGCATTTGAATGTTAAGCAATTGTAAAAAAAAAATTCATATGACAATGTTTTGGTAAAATTTGCACACCTTTTAGTCAAAAGGTAGTCGTAGCAAAGCTTTTAAAAATACTTTATGTATGGAAAATGTTTCTAATCAAACATCTAAAATATACAAAGTTCCACTTAGAACTACTAGCAGACAAATAGGAATGTATTGCATCATCACAACAATTTCTGGCTATTTTTAAATTTAAATGTAGACACATATGTATTTTCTAAAACACTACGACACCACTAGCATTTCAACAAATGAATAACAACGTAATTTCCGCTAAATGAGCGCGTTCACCCACTCCCAAGATCCAACGACCTAACCAAAAAAAAAACATATAATTATAATCCTCACTGACCGCCTTGGCCCTGGCGATTATTGTATTCTTGCCAACGAAACGAACTAACATGCAGACTATTTCAAAGTGGTAAATGTAATATGTGTTTTTTTTTTCTACACGCCCAGTAAGCGAATTAGTAAGAAAAGTGCTCGTCAGACTGATCGTTAAAATATAATATATGGTACCTTATAGGCTTTTTGACGTTTCGTTCTGGGTGTTACAAACTTGTTTAGGGTATACAAATATATTTTAAAATTCTTAGTAATTTTATATAATAAGAAGAAACCCTTATTTCAACTAAAAATAAAAAAAAAACCTATAATTTTCAATCAAAATGTCTCATATCAAAATTTCAGATTTAAACGATAAAAAAGTCAGTAGGTTTTATGTTTCTTGAAATCTCAACGTACTGATGGTATAAAAATTATATACATTAATATGGTATATTGGCCAAAAATAAAAGGTTTCGATTTTAAATCAAGGTTTCCTTCTTAATATTTTAAATTTAAAGAAATACAGTACTTCTGGGGCATAGGAAGGTAAAGTTGACGCCAAACCACGTGCTAGAAAAAAAATTTTGATACCAGATAAAAATAAAAATTCCAGACAATTGGTTATTTGAATTTTTCACATTAATTTTGAGGTTATGTGAAAAAAAAATCTTTTCATTACCTACAATATTGCCACATAACATTTTTCGATAGAACTCGTAGTTTTGGCGAAGATAAACCGTTTCTAACCTTAAACAGGTCAACCAATAATGTTTGTTAATTTATCTTTAGTTTTCGATGGGTTTTATCCTATTATAATTTTTTTTGTTTTCTAAAATTTTTTAAATTAAAAAGAACTTATGCGTAAAAAAAATTTATATATTAATGCATGTACATATGTACATATACTACTTATATTACTTTTATAATATCTTTATTATATTTAATTAAGCTGTTATTTTTTTATGACAAACTATTTTTTTATTGTGAATAAATAATTTTTTATCAAAAACTGAAATGAAAATAATAATATATATTAAAATATTTTATATATATTTAGTAAATAAAGTTTAAAGCAATTTTCAACATTTTTCTATTTTCTATGAAATTTTTAATCGTAAAGTAAATATGTACTAAGAAATACACTGGGTACACTCGATGGTATAAATATATACTTTGTGTCTATGTTGCCTGGCTGTCTGCCAGCAGATCTTTGTCTCGTGCGCCCAAGTCGCAATAAAAAAATAATAAGTAGCAGAAAAAACAAAACAATATTGAAGAAATTTCTGCTATAAAATAAACAAAAGTCGAAGTATTAATTTAAACAATGGCATGCACTTCACTTAATTGCCCAACAAGCGCTTCAACAGCTGATCACAGTTGCGGCATACTCAATATATTATATAATACTATACACTCACATAGCTAACATACATACATACGTACAAAGTTCATGTGCAGCAACAAAATATGTATGAATATATTTTAGTAAACAAAACTCGAAATGTCGCTGAAAGTGTTAATTGCTGCACACTCCTTCCTTATTCTTTGTTGACTTTGCTTTTGAATTTTCCGTTGCCTTTATTTCTTATTTACGTTTTTGTTTTTTTAATTTTATTTTATCTTTGCATTTGTTTTGCTATTTCTTCTAGCTATTTTTGCTTTCACTCTTTGCACAGTATTTTAATGGCGCCATGCAATGCACTTTGTCGCCAATTAATAATGGTCGAATATGTTGTGCATTTCATTGCTTCCGACAAAGCGCTATCGGTCCCAGACTCGTGCAAATGAAACAACGTGTCACATAAATTAGTAGAAAAGAAAAAGATGCAAACACAGGTTCCTTTATTCAGTCAATTTGACATATGTACATGCAGTTAAATTTTACATAGTATACATTCATAAGTATATACAAAAACGAATATTATTTCGCTTGAAACTCTGTAAAATAGATTCTAAGACACCTCTAAGAAAGGTTTAATTTTTTCTAACTGATAACAAAAAAAAATAGAAAACTATAAGGCGGAGGACTTCCCGTTACAACTAAGAGCTCATACTTGTAGAGACTTTCTTAGAGGTGGCTATCATCCCATTTTTCAGAGTACCAAGCGGTTTTCGGACCCACCCTATTACTTATACATACATATCTATCATATAGGTATATATGTAACAAAACAGTTTGATCAGTACATATCTGGCGCTATGAACCTTTATTATCTTTATCTACTTATAAGCGCATTTTATATGCCTTATATTTCATGTGGATCTTTGTTTGCCTAGGAAGATCCAGTTTCTTATATTGTTGGGAGGCACTATTATTACACTGTGCAATATTTTATCGGTTTTTGTTGGAAGTGTTAAAAAATATGCAATAAACGCTAAATTTGAAATACGTTCAAAAAGTAAGTAGAATTTTTTGTTAACACTTCCAAATCTTAACATTTTTCTTCTAATCTGAAAATCTTTTGTAATAGGAACGCAATTCAAAATTGAGTTCTTGCATTGATGCAGCTTCAATATTTTCAATGTTACCAAATCTTCGTTCTTTTAGGGGTCTCAACTGATTTGACGAGTTTGACTTTTATGGGCAAATCCTTGACTACTTTAATGTTAGCTCGGGACCTAGCGTTGGCATCTTCCTCAGGTCCCGCTTGGAAAAACCATAAATTAACTACATATTTCTCAACACTATATATATATAATATATAAATAGTAAAATTCCAATTGGTTTACATGTGAAGTAAGACTAATGTTTAAAATTTAAAGTATATCGATAATTTTATACAAAACTAACGAGTTAACCTGTATACAAGATTGATATATTTTAAAAATAAATGAAAAATTAGAGACTTTTTTATGCGCAAAGTGGTAGAGGTCACAGAAATGGTATTAATTTATTAAGAGATCCGAGAAATATAGATATATATATGTATAAACAATAATATATGTTATCAATTTTTTTTACGAATATTTTACGCATTTATTTATACTGCTTTTTTAATTCATAATATATATATTTAATAAAATTATAAAAAATAATGTATTTTGATTGATATTATTTTTAATTGTTATAATTTTTTTATTATTAACGTATAAATTCTTATCTATTGGTTTAGCCTTTATATATATTTTTTATAGATTAGGTCTTATATTTATATTCAAAATCAAAAAGTTCGCTGAGGGTATTAGCTTCAATGATTTCAACAATCGTATGCGTCGTAACTCAATTCTGATTTAATTTCAAAAATTGGTTATAAAAAGATTTTGTTTAAATGAAATGGTATGACCATTTTGAATTAAATAAAGGGCGACATGAAGAAATCACGTGATTTTTATTTTAATAATCAAGAAATAATCAGTGCAAATGAACTTTATTTATAATTTAAACTAAGAGAACTAGTATATTATAAATATTATACCCCGAACATGGCATATTATTACACGAAGGTTG